CTTTCGATAAAACCTTGACCTTGTTTATATTACCGTCGCCTGCAACTAACGATGAACAGTTGCTCATAAAAACATCGCCTTTTCGCGTGATAATCTAACGTTTTCTTATTTTGACATAATAGCCAATTTTCAATAAATATATTGATATTAAACTTATTGAATCAATATATTAAGTTTCAGGCCAGTTGTACCAAACGTTATAAGCGCTAGCGCATCATAACCAGGGGGCGACCTCTGGGGGGGGGGGGCGACTGCTTCTGTTTACGGTACTTGCTGAGTGACGAATCATCAATCATGACGAATAGCGCTTACGCAAAAAAATAATGGAAATCGACTTCTGTATAGTATTCTGTGTCATAACGTTTCATGGTTTTGATTAGCCTGAAAACAGACCTACGTTTCGCCCACCCTAAAATTTGCGGGTCGACGGATCCGTAGACATGCTCCAAGTCTCTCTTTCATTGTCATATCAATCCACTATGGTGTACATTACATGACGTAGCACTGAGAGGCGGAGCGAGAAAGAGAGACTTGTCAACTTCGGAAAATCTCGGTTCAAAACTGAACCGAAAATGCAAGACTTGCTTTAATTGTTTTCTGTCAGTGTTTATATGTATTGATCTAGCACAGTGTAAATAACATGAGTTCCATTATAATAAATAATACAGAAAGAAATTGAAGAAAAACAATTAAAGCAAGTCTTGCATTTTCTGTTCAGTTTTCAACCGAGATTTCCGAAGTTGACAAGTCTCTCCTTCTCGCTCCGCCCCTCCGTAGTACGTCATGTAATGTACACTATAGTGGATTGATACTATATGACAATGAAAGAGAGACTTGGAGCAAGTCTAACGGCTCCGTCAACCTGCGAATTTTAGGGCGGGCGGAACGTAGGTCTGTTTTCACGCTAGCTTTTGATGGCATGCAACATGTACGCACTGCGTACCTATTTTTCAATTTTTTAATAGTATTTTTGGAGGGGATGGGGGCGGTTTTTCCACCATATCGGTGATATTTTTTGTACTGATGTTGCGAAGGCCGCCATTTTGCTTTAAGAACCTTGTATACCCAAGCCTACGCGCTCCTATCGATCAGTATACAGTGCGAAGGTCTGAGCATGAGAAAAATTTCAAATATTAAACTGTTTTAAGCTGTAAAACGAAGAGATTTACATAAAAAAAAATAAAAAAAAATTCAGAGGCGGCAGAAAATCGAGAGGCGGGCGGTGACGCTAACCAAGTATTTTTTTTTTATTTGGCCTTATTTAATATGTTGACAAGGTGTAGCGAAAGAACAAAATGAGTCAAAATATATACCAAAAGTAGAATCTTTCATGAAATTTTGTCTTATACACAAGTACATTAATATATATTTTCTCAATTTTGGCAAGAAGCAGTCTTGTGTTTGTAAAATATACAAAATAAAACGGATACATATATTATTAATAGCCCGTACAGTACTGTATATAAAAACGTACATTGTTTATACAAATGGTATATCTGTAATATTTGAACACTAATTTCAAATTCCTCATTCCCAATTCGCAAATATAGTTATTCAAAGCAAAACAGTAGATTGTCTTGCGAATATTAAAAGAATTATTATTTTGTGCCGTTTCGCTACACCTTGTCAACATATATAAATAGTGTTGTATTAAGTTGTTTCAAACTTTATGATAAAAAACCCGATTTTCTAGACGTGTATACAAATAAAAATAGTAAGTTTATACTATAAATGAGTTTATTTTACCTGTATCGGTTTAAATTCGCTGTTAAGTTGCAAATAATTCTGTTTGAGAACGCAACAATTGGGCATTTCGCAACCAGGGCAGTTTCAGGGCAGTTTTGGCCTTGTTGTTGGGAAATCCACTAGGCCTTCTATATTTTCGCTTGCGTCAGGCTTGTGTCCTTCCTCCGCCCCGCCCCCAAATTACCTAGTCCCAGTCTTTTCATGTGAAAAAGCGCTGAATATTAAAAAAATATAAATAAAAATAGAAGGCCTAGGTCTAGGCTGCATGACAACTACTTCAGATACTTCATGTTCGGAAAATACAATGGTTTTGTCTGTTTGTCAGCAAGGCGAGGGTTTCTGCATGCATGTATTTTCTAGTCTTTATTTAGAAAAACAAAAACTCTAGCTCTTTATTTAGAGAAACAAAAATAGATAATGGGGAGCAATAGACAATTCCCATTATAGACTATTTTTTATCTTAGCAAAAAAAGTATATTCCCGGGAAGGGCATACTAAAATTAATAAAATTGCAAAGTTTGGTTGCGAAATGTTGTAAAATGTAGAAAATATAGCCTTCCAAAGTTTGCAAATTTTCAGTACTTTTGTATTGCAATTTTCGCATGCAATACAAAAGTATACAAAATTTGCAAACTTTGCAAGGCTATATTTTCCGTATTTTATAACATTTCGCAACCAAACTTTGAAATAATTTACTTATTTTAGTATGCTCTTTCTAGCTGTGGTGATTTATTTGCATCAAGGCCGGATTTTGAGAGGAGGTGTGGAGTGGTGCGCACCTCCCCTGAGATCGTATTGCACCTCCCCTGAGAATTTTTGCACTTCTCCTGAAAGGTCATGCACCTCCCCTTGGAAAAGTTTCAATGATGGAACAAAGTGAAAATGTGATGGTTGCTTAGGATCTACACTTCGTGACGTAAGAAAGTTTTTTCTGTAAAATTGAAACAGTGATAGCCATTCATCTCTGTGTCAAGTACCCTTTTAATGCAATGTTTTGAAAGAAACTTTGTAGCAATTGTAATGAAGGGCAAGATTGGAGTCATACAGTCATAATTCATTAATACACTGGTACATATGTACACTACATGCATACCTCACCTCGTTGATATTGGCCTGTTCTACAATAAGCCCTAACTTTCCATGGGTGTTTGTGAGCTAGACCGCTGCACCTCCCCTAAATTTTTTTTCCACCTCTCCCATTATTTTCACCAAAATTCGGCCTTGATTTGCATCTCTTTGCCTAGTTCTAAAATTAGTCTATAATGGGAATTGTCTATTTACATGAACATAAGAGACTGTTTATTTGGCTTCCATTTATGAATATTAAAGGTCTATAAACATTGTTATTTGTTGTTAAGTTGTTTTGTGATACATTTTTAAATCTACTAATGTTTTTTCAAACTGGTAAATATTTTCAAAGCCCCCCTTCTTTCGTCTCTCTGTATTTTTTCAAAGCCTCCCCTTTCAGGTTTAAAAAAATTTAAAGGCCCACCAGTTTCTCCTCAATCCCCCCCTGTACAATAAATAATGAGCGGTCCCTTATCCCGGGCGTTCTGTGACCCCCGTCCGCGATCATATCAGATCATGTCAGCGGCTCAGCATTTAGCATTAATTAATACAATTCGAATTCGCGCGCGAATAATTAATTAAAGATATTATTTTAATTGAATATAAATACACTTAAAAAACAAACGTGACCCTGGCTTTTAGGTATTGATTGTCTTTTCTTGCCTTTTCTTAGCAATTGCTTTTTGTTTACTCGATTTACGGGTGCATTTAAGCAACTTACAAATATAATTTATGTTCACTTACTTTAATTTTACGAAGTCATTAGTCATTTGCCTTATTGAATAGGCTGAATTTCGACTTGCTTGATTGCCTCTATTGTTTGCTGAATTTCGACTTGCTTGATTGTCCCTATTGTTCGCTGTTATTTTTATATTTTTTCGGTAAGTCTTTGTATAACCCTGTGACTTGAATTCCTTTTCCTTGGCCTTGTATTTTAGCTACCTCTGCATGCAAAGAAAATGTCTTAAGTGTGATTATAATTTTACACATTGCAACAGGAGCGAGAACTATAGTTTGTTTCCTCGCTTAGAAGTTACTTCATCTCCAACAAATACACCTCATCTCACACACTCTGATGTGGACTTACATATGCCATATGATATTAATTTTAATTATTACAACTCGCATGAATTTCATGATAATCCAGATATTGCCCATTGCTTGGAAGGAAATAGTTCATTTTCTGTACTAAATTGTAATATAAGAAGTTTATCTGCAAATTTTGATACATTTAAAGGCACAGTGCACCCAAATTCGCGCATGCGCATTGCGTTCAAAAACTTGAAAAACTTAATGTTGTAAATCAAGTTTTAAAAATCAAAATGGCGTCGTATATACAGTCTACAGTACTAATGGGTAAAGAAAGTTTTACGTGTTTAAAATCAGTTATATAATGATGTATATTTGTGCGAAATCAAGGCTAATAATTTGATCTCCGGATGTTCCGAATTATCACAGTTATTATGTATGCGAAGTGTAATTTGATACCCGTCTGTGCAGATGAAGCATCGAGCGGTATTGGCCGAATTTCACATTTTTACATGCGTTCAATGCTATGGAAAGCTCTAAAACTGACAGTGACGATAACTTGCGTTGTCCTACTGAGCCAGTGAGCCTGGCCCATCTTTTCAAGCGCCTGAAAGTGGTACGCACGGTGGGAAAAGACGTGGTTCTGGGAGGAAACGCAAGCGTGAGGGAGGCTACCTAGTACCTAACGAGAACGTACGTACGAAGTGCGATTTGGAAGACCATTTCCCTGCACAATGATGTCTATGACCTGTGGATGGATGTACAAGAAATTTATCAACTACAATGACAAGTCGAGTAAGCCATCATCAAGCAACATCAACTCGAAGGCAATTAAAAACATAACTTTTAAATTCAGGTATTTATACTTTTTTCTCATACGTATGCCTTTTTAATACTCGCCTATGTGTTTTAAATTTATGAATGATATATACAGTGAACTGAATATATAATAGTTTATATACAAGATTTTAATACTACTGCATGTTCCTATTTTCTATTGTCACTGTAAATATTGGGCCTATAATTGGCCCTATTGGCTATACCCATCATAGAACTCATGGCGGTATTTGCTTTCCTGTCCTTGCTACCATTTCATCTCGAATATTTTTCTTGTTTTATCTCTTGAATTATACTTTTATATGATTTATTACTTCATAAATTCCTATATGTATTGGGCCATTTAAATATATACCCCCCCCCCCCTATTGAGGGGTCGCTTCATAATCCCCTTAGGATATAAAAATTTAGGACCCCCTTGGGTGTGATTTTTTGAAGCTACCCATGGTTATATTTAAACCCCCTTTAGGATATCATCTTTGCCCCCTTGGATATCAGTATGGAGTATGGAGCCGTCGTTCGAGTAAGAGAGCTAAAAGATGGAAACCAGTGATTGTTGAGAAGAATGACTGAGCTACATTCCAATTCTGAGTGCTCATGTGTTGAAAGAGGCAAGCAAAGAGTTTCTGTAGAAAGTAAAACCATCCACATCTGATCAAGATCCAACAAAAATAGCCCTAACAATTGCCAGTCTACCTGCTCTGTCAACAGTGGATTTTGTAAAAGAACGTACCACAATATTTTAGATTACAGTAGATATACAACCTTTTCAGGCTTTTGATAATTACGTCATTTGGCCTGGGAGCCTTGCTCTCATGAATCGTGAGCCAATCACTTTGCATAATTTATTAATGAAAGCGAGGCTCCAAGACCAAAAAGTATGTGTGGCATAATTATCGAAAGCGTGTATTGTCAGAACTACTGAGTACTTTGATAAAAAAACAGTGCATAATACTTGCTCTGAAAAAATGTAAACAGTCATTTTAAATTGTTTATTTGTACATTCAACTAATAAATTTCAGGAATGATCTCTCTTGAAGATGACTACAATTTATTAGTGAAAACATACAAATAAACAATTTTGAGGATGTTTTTAAAATGCTTCCAGAGAAATTATTGTGCTGTATATAATTCTATGGGTTTGTGTCAAAGAAACTATGGGTGAAATTTCATATAAGGATCCCAAAATGACATCACATAGGGTTGTGTATGGGCTGGGTGAGAGTAAGGGTTATATTTTGGGATTCTTATATAAAACTTCATCTACAATTATGCCAACCTCGCAAGCCAGGGTCTTTATACCTCCGCGGGCTACGGCAAAGACCCTGGTTGACACTGGTCACGTGACCACCCAGATTCTGGGTGGTATCTAATAGGCGCCTCTTTTGCTACTTAGGGAGGAGTGGTAGGGTAATATGACGCTGGAATATATATATATATATACATAATATATAGTTATAAATAATTATATAGTAATACTGTTACAGTAAACAGTGGGTAAACTATTGATATTTTAAACATAAGAGGAGATTTTTAAAACAAAATATTATTTTAAAATATGTGGCGGCTTTTAAACTTAAAAGCTTTTTACTCCTTTTCGGCAATTACAACGTTAGAGGATCTTTCGCACCTTGACCTTGTCAGCCGGTATTTCTTCAAAGAAACACCTATCTGTAGAAAATAAATTACGAAGGCTAACGCGTAAACAAATCAATTCAGTTCTGAGTAGCTACAAGCCATGGCTGAGCGAAAAGAAACACCAAAGAAAGTTTATCCGAAATCTGCTATAGATTCGGGATGTAAGTGTCGTCTCTGTGGTGGGATTTTCGAAAAAGCACGCTGTAAAAATCTTTTTAAAAAGGGGAACGAAGGTCGCCTGCGAAGCGCAGAAATTGTTAACGGTGGCGCCCTTATCTGCGAGGAAGGATTTCCTCATCTTTTATGTCGGGCTTGTGATAGACGCTTGGAGAACTTTGAGAAGTTTAGAAAAGTTGTTCGTGACGTGCAAAATGGTTTAACTCGGGAGAAAAGATGTACTGGTTTATCACCTTCCGCACCTGTAAGCAGAGCCAAAAGTTTGAGATCTCATAATTTGGATGCCCCGTCCCGTCGTGGCCTCTCCTTTAGTTCCAGTGGAATCTCGAGCGATACTAGTATGCCGCAGTCAACGCCTGATTCAGCAAGTCAGCCATTCCAGGTAGGTTGTGATTGAAAAATGCACAGTAGTCAATATAGCGGTTTTATATACTCGGTTTATACAATCTTGTATTTTCCAAAAACACGATCGCTTAGCCTATGATTTACGTTTCTATAAAAATCTACATCATATAAATGAGTGTTTTTTTGTAGATTATCCTTCCGGTCCAACCTACAAGAACGGATGAATCATTTTTTAAAGGAATCTTGGACAAGATAAATGTAGAATTGCGTGGTGTGGCTAGAAGGGACACGAATTCGATGCTTCGAAGTCGCAGTTTTGACAGGCTAAGCAACTTTTCGTACGAGCAGCTGGTAGAAGAATTAAAGACCATGTGTCCTATTACATATAAACTATTAGCTTGTATGCTGGAATTAGAAAATTGTAGCGAGAAAAAGATTGCTGCGCTAAGTTTGATATACGGGGTGATTATGTTCAAGAGGTGCAAGGAACTCGGCTTTATCCAAAGCATTAACACCATTATTCTGTCAGACAGCGGTGCGAACACCGAGGTACTGTAGCCTGATTTTTTTGCAGGGCAGCGTTCTTAATAAAAGCCGCGTTAGATGTATAAGAAGCAATTTTGACTGAAAATAATTGCAACTTGCAAAACAATAGTGATGATGTACTGTATGTCATTAAAACTGTGCTCAAACTGGCTGTTTATTAGTACCGGTTAGTACCGGAGATTTCTAAATATTAATTGAACATCTTGCCAGTTACATTGCCGGATGTTTAATAACGGCCCATTTATTGTTTATCTAATATGAAAAGTCTTATATTTTTTTTTTCATGAGTTTTCTATCCTGAAAAACATTGTCATTGATACAGAAACAATCTTGCTACCCATTCATTTTGTTTTTGCCTGCCTTTGGGAGGCAAATTGTGCATTTGTGCCTTCGCAAGAACTTTGGGCAAACAGGGAAACAAAATATTGCGATTCACAAAGATACATTTCCTACTGTTACCACAACTATATTTCCTGTTTCGCCAGGGTAGAAGAAAAATGTCCTTGTATTAATTTAAAACACGCGTGGGAGTGCTTTAGCAGATATAAAACGCGAGGTGGAAGCCAAACATTTTACATCTGATAAAGCACGACTACAAGTGCTTTAAATGGCTTAAAAAACGATCCATGTTTATGAGTTCATTGGCGAAGTAATTTTCAAAATCAACGTTTTTAAGCCGAGAACTGATCAAAGCTAAAGTAACATGAAATTTTATCACATATATAAACACCAACAACAGGGTTGTAATTTTCTTTGTTTTTTTTTTAGTTTTTTAAGTAAGTTTAATCCCAATGTATGTGGATATGCTAATCCTCGATGCTAATGCCTTTTCAAATGCTTTTTCATGTTTGATTGTGCTTCAACTGCTTCAAAAGAATAACTGTCTGTTTAAAACTTTTAAATGTAAATTTTAATGTTTAAATACCACATACAAATCACATAATTGCAAATTTTTAGACCTAATAGATTGTTAATTCAACTTTGTATTTCTGATTAAATATACAGTGTATTATATTTTTACACTCTTTCCAGGAATTAATGTTGTTATTCTTACATTACTTTATTTTCCTATTCAGGTTTATGAGAGGTTCAACAAACTTGGTATATGCTTTGAAAAGACAATGAAGTACAAGATTCAAGATGAGATTGGCACACATTTCCTGGACAAGGTGGTTGAGCAAGTAAAGGCAGGAAACACTTTTTCATTTGTCCTGGATAACATTGATTGGGAAGTGAAGGTGCACGAAATGCGATCAGATAATCAAAACCAAAGTGTACATGCTGTTGCAACATCTTTGGTATTTGATCGTGTTTCGTGCAGCCATTTAGATGACACAGAGCCGCAGCAGTCTTTAGCCGAGACTGATATCAAACAGCTTGTCGAACTGAATGTTAATGATGCTGAACAGCAGCGACAAAGTTACAAGATGATAGCAGCTAAAATCCTATGTGAGCAAATCCCAGCATTCAGCTTTCTTAAGACATTGGTAAGCAACACCTACCCATCTTTGAAATATGCAGCAGAATTGAAAGGAAAATCAACCATTGTGCCATTCCCAGTTCTTTTGAAAGATGAAAAGAAGTATGCGGACATTGTTGATGTCTTCGACCAGCTTGAAACATGGGTCCATGAAATTTATGCGAAAGCTGGTCAAATTCCAGATAGTGATGGTTCGGTTGATGATGAGACTTCTTTGACTGTCGGTCCCACACAGGGTCTATCTGAATCTACCTCCCGACCTGACCAACCATTATCCCACGTCCATCCTGTAGCTGATCCAAATGACCCATTGGCTAATGTTCGGGTGCCTTGCTATGGTGATCAGCTCACTCGGGTCCGAATGGCTGGTGCAAAGGATTTAAGGGCTGGATGTCACAGTGCAAGGGATAGATTTAACCATATTCATCCAATAAAAGTTGCAGACTGGCATTCAAAACGGAGTTTCTTGAAGGTGAGCAAGAATTATTATGTCAAAATGTCATAATCAATATTATTTAACTGCTACTAACATGTACATTCTCCTACAGCCCACTTTCAGGGGGCTGTTATATTTGACTTGCTGTTTCTCTAGCCGTGTATACAGCTGTGTTGTTCCAGTGAAAAATTTCTGAAAAGCCCCAGCCAGTACAAGTCAACAATAATACCATATTCTCTCTGTTAAATGAGCTCAGGGGGTTGGGGGATTTTTTAGACCATTTTGAGAGGGCTTATTAAAGAGAGGGATGGACCTTTTTGAGAGAGGGGGGCTTTTTTGGTAAAATTATATGATAATTTTCTTTCAGCTCAAAGCAATGTGTGTAAAACAACTATTTATTCTAACAATTTTAACACAACTCTAAACGTTTTTGGATGTTCAACTGTATACTTTCCGACTTTTCAACTATATATAAGTTTTAAGATGTTCATGACAATGTATTAATTAAGCATCATGTTATTTTTCCAAAAAGAAAATAAATTGGTAGAAATCTTTACATGAGGGGAGGGGCTTAATAAATTTCTTCACTTAAAAAGGACTCATTAATGGGGGGGGGGGCTAAATGGAGAGGATACAGTTAATGTAGCCTGCGAACAGGCTCTTAGAATTGAAGAGATTTCAAAGAGAGCCTGTCCGCAGGCTACAGTTCATGTTAACTAAAGTTATTTCATAATTGTTATATACTTTTATCATTCCAGTTCATATTTAAGAAACTGTATGGGAAATCAGGGCGAGCAAAAGGTACATTGAGATTCTTCCGTGAGAAATTACAACGTCGGAATGTCACTAAGGACATCAAGCATTATGAGGACTGTGAACAGTTGTTTCTTAGTGTGGGTAGAGCTTACACTGTCACAGCCTTGCTACACTTTTTTGGCATGGCTGGTATTGATGATCCTCCACAAAACCATCTCTGTCCATATGATGTCATCCATGGGGATGGGGATAAGCTGGAATACCTTAACGCAGTCCTTGATAAGTTTGTGGATGAGTATTTACTGGCCAAGACACAAGTTGATCTTGATCTTAACGAAGCATCAGATGATTCTCCAGATCAAGTAAGGGAATATTCACTGTGCCTTCTAAGATTTTTCTTTATATTAGAATGCATTAGACAGGCAGTGAAGTCAGGCAATGGTGACCAGCTAGCAGCTCTACGTAAGGTGTTACTCAAGCATTTCAAAAGTGACCCCGGCCACAACACTTATGCAATTGAAATGCTCATCAGTATTTTGCAAGATGAAGTCTTCTTAACGAAGAGACAGGCTCATCAAACTAGGTGGGCTTCAACTGCCAACTGGACAGGTGGTGCCTTAAAGAATATTGAAATAGATCTCCTTCAAGAGAACCTGAATAGGGAGCTGAAGAAAGGCATCAAAGATATGGGAGCTAACAAAACACCAAGATCAATTGAACGGTTTAGCAGAGCAGCTGGAGGAATTGCAGAAATCATCAGAAACTTTGATGAAGCTGTGGCAATAAAGAAAAAGGATTCCACCCATAAGCACAAATCTTCAGCAAAGGATGAAAACTTGATTTTGTTTGATCTTCTGGAGCTGAAACCATTTGAAGATATTAATGACCGATGTCATGAAGGTTTCACAGATGTATCATCTGACACACTAGCAACATTAAACGAAGCTGCATTTAATGAATGGTTAGACAGACACAAGAAGAACATTGTGAAGCATGGACCAGTGGATGTATTGTCAGAAGATGAAGATGAACTCTGATCCACATCATAATCATTGTCAGTGCATTATACTGTAGTTAGATGTGAATTGATCATTTCATATCACTAAAATGAACAAATTAAATTTTTTTTTGCTATCAGCAAGCTACCACTTTAAGATTTATGATCAGATATCAATTCACAACTAATAGACCTTTCCCCTTATAACCAAAATTTTGATCTAGGTAAGTCTAGACAAATATTTTATCACAGCTTGACAGAGCATCACAAAATTAGTAATATTCCAAAGTTTTGTTGCGAAATGTTGTAAAACGAGGAAAAGAGCCTTGCAAAGTTTGCAATTTTCAGTCATTTTGCATTACAAACGGGAAATTGCAGCCCCAACACCCGAATCGGATGTCAATTTCCCGTTTGTAATACAAAATGACTGAAAAACGGCAAACTTCGCAAGGCTATATTATCCGCATTTTACAAGATTTTGCAACAAAACTTTGGAATATTACTAATTTTGTGATGCTCTTTCAAGCTGTGATGAAATTTTTGTCTAGATCGAAATTTTAGTTATAAGGGGGAAGGTCCATTGTAATGGTATGTATGTTAGAAATTTCTAAAGGACTGGGAGGCACCCACCTTTATTGTAAAGGCCAATATTAAGTTGTAATTTCCTGGCTGTGCCAAACTTTGCTATTTTACTATAACTGACACTAGACAATTTTAGTCTACAAAGGGGTGTGCACACAAGGGATACATTGGGTGCACACTTTCATTTCATACCAGGGATGCACTGTAATACTGTACATAAGGAATACATTGGATAAACACTATAGTTTTACACCAGGGCTGCACTGCAATCCATATAGAAATTATATTTGGTACACACTGTAATTTTACACAGGGACTACACTTTAATACACAGAATTACACTTGGTAAGGACCATCATATGTCATTATATAGTTGTGATACTAAACAGTATGATTTCTCCAATTTACTATTTAATAATTAGATTACGAGCTCCAGATTTCTATGACGTGAAGTTGATGAAGGCAAAGCCCGGATCAACTGTCACCTCATAGAAATTGAGAGCAAGTAATCTAATTGTTTTAGTAGAATCAGAGATCAAATATAAAATATTGCACAAAAACAATGAAACATGCAGACTGAAAGCGATTTTCTTAAAAAAATGGGCTAGGGAAATTATTGTTTTGCTACTCGCTATCTATCGAGGAATAGGTAGTGAGTAGAGTAGCCAATCAAATTACAGCATTTGCGATAGTATACTAGTATGATTCTGCTAATGGTATTTAGCACTAGTTGTTGAATGTGCCAGGAAACAGACAGTGTTTCATCAACCCAAAGACAGTTCTTACGTCACTGTATTAAACTGCACTCAATACATGAACAAGCCTTCATGCACACGCTGCAACACAAATGTCCTGGTGAAAATGACTCTGGTTTGTTGATGTCAAGACATTCCAAAAGCAAACATCGTAAGCATTGGTTTTCACTACGACAAAATGTTCTTATTTCATCCTGGATCCCTTGTTTGTTTTTTCCAATATCCCTATTATTATAATAGAGGATAGCTTTTGAATATTTCCCATCTCGACCTGCTCTCCCAGTTTCTTGAAAATACTCACGTATTGTTCTCGGGGGTCCAATGTGTATAATGTGCCTGATTGAAGGAATATCCACTCCCATTCCAAAGGCTACTGTAGCAAAAACCACTCTGACCTTCGGTGTTTCCATGCTCAATTGTAGCAGAATCTCATCCTTCATTCTGGCTGTTTGTGGCGCATGAAATTGGGCAAACAGTCTATTCTTTGGAAGTGGCATGGCACCAAAAGGATGATATTGATGAATATTAAGGATACTTTCGAAAAGCCTGTACACAAAACCACACCATTTCAAAGGCATGTAAATAATTGTTAGAGGATAGTCAATTTTCATGTCCAGCAGGTCAATAGCAATTGGTCTACAAATATTCTCAAAAGCATCAATATCTTGACCATGTCTGAATATTTTTTCATAAAAAATATTACTTCTATCAGGGTTAGCAACCAATTCATAGCAATTTTCCAAACCAAGTGACTCCTTTATTTGCATCCGGTCGATGTTATTAGCTGTAGCAGTCATTGCAATTACTGGTACATTGGGAAATGTTGCACACAGCATGATAAGTTTCCCATAGGCTGGTCTGAAATCATCTCCCCTAAACAAAATTAATACAATATTAATAATGCGATATTTTAGCTAATGATATCTAAAAAAACTAAAAAAAAAGCAGCAGACATTTCCATGTATGTGGCCCTATAAATTGATAATACTGTAACTAACAGATAAAGCTATATCGAAAAGATTATATTAAAGGGTAAAATTCTGAGTTTCAGCAGGAAAAAGAAGCAAACTTATAATTCTGATTTGAAACCTACCATTCAAGAATGCAATGAGCTTCATCAATTACAATGGCGCAGACATTTTTTTGATATATTGGACTGTTAGCCAGTTCTCGTCCAAATTTACACGAGATGAATGCCTCAGGATGGGCGAATAATATGTTATAACAACCACTGGCAAGTTCTTCCTTCTTGCCATGCTTATCAACATCAAACTCCTCGTTGTCATCAGTTGTGGACTGCTGTGATACATTTAGTGAGGACACCCTAAGACCCGTCGTCAATAACTTGCGAATTTGGTCGCTTATTAAGGAGTTTAACGGCGATATTACCAGTAATACTGTAGTTACGTCGCCAATGGATATAATACCTCGATTGGGATATTCTTCGAACACCTTCTTACGAAACAGAATTAAAGGTAAAAGTTGGTATATTAAAGACTTGCCATAACCAGTAGGAAGGACAGCCAATATATCTTCGCCCAAAAAAATCTTTTCCAAACAGATTACCTGCTTCGGCTTTAAATTAACATCGGAATATAAACTATGGATAATAGAAAAGTGTAAACACACGAGAAAATGCAGGCATTTCGAATCCTTTTGCATCTTTGAGGCTATTATTATAAATCAATTCGCTGTCAAATTTCCACTCAAAGTCTCGAATTATAATATGTCCCGCTCACTCCTGCGAAACAAGATATCAAACCGGAAGCTGCTATTAACAGTATATCGTATTTCAACCACCCCCCCTAGGGACCTCATGTGGCGATTATTTTTTGTGGGTCACGTGACCAGTGTCAACCAGGGTCTTTGCCGTAGCCCGCGGAGGTATAAAGACCCTGGCTTGCGAGGTTGCAATTATGCCTCCACAATCAAAGATTTATGAATAAAGAGAGCAGATATATACAATTTCTATTTGTGAATGTACATAATTTATTTGTGCTATATTCAATAATTGATAAAATGGACAAATGTGAAATGCTGTCCATATCATAGAAACAAAATAACCATATTGTTCTACATAAAACCCTGACTGCCCACCCCCTTGACCCTCTAGGTCAAGGCATATCTCTATATCTGGTATGATGTCCATCAGGTGAAGGATGTTTTTCGAATTTTCCACACACGGCATGCATGGCTATGTATGTACTGACACACTGTCGATATGCTGCATGCCTCATCACTCTATTGTCATATGTTTGTGTAAACACATAGGTATCTGCCAAAACTTTATGGAGGTGGCCAAT